CTCTGGGAAGAGCAGTGTTTTTATTATTATTATTATTATTATTATTATTATTATTATTATTATTATTATTATTATTATTATTATTACAATTTATTCACTTTGTATCCCAAATGTAGCTCCCCAGTCCACTGATAGGGGAGGTCCTCCTCCCCTTCCCTCTGACCCTAGCCTATCAGGTCTCATCAAGACTGGTTGTATTGTCTTCCTCTGTGGTCTGGTAAGGCTGTTCCCCCTCAGGGGGAGGTGATCAAAGAGCCAGCCACTGAGTGCATGTCAAACACAGTCCCTGTTCACATTCTAGAGACTGAGCTGCCATGAGCTACATCTGTGCAGGGGTTCTAGGCTATCTCCATGAATGGTCCTTGGTTGGAGTATCAGTCTCAGAAAAGACCCCTGGGCCCAGATTTTTTGGTTCTGTTGCTCTCCTTCTGGAGCTCCTGTCCACTCAAGGTTTTTGTGTCTCCTCCTTCTTTCATAAGATTCCCTGCACTCTGCCCAAAGTCTCAGCATTTGCTTCAATACCCTGCTGAGTAGAGTCTTTCAGAGGCCCTCTGTGGTAGGCTCCTTTCCTGTTCCCTGTTTTCTCCCTCTTCTGATATCTATCCCATTTGCCTTTCTGAATGAGGATTGAACGTCTTACCCAGGGTCCTCCTTCTTGCTTAGCTTCTGTAGGTGTACAGATTTTAGTATGTTTATCTTATATTTTATGTCGAATATTCACTTATAAGTGAGTATATACCATGTGTGTCTTTCTGCTTCTGGGATACCTCACTCAGGATGATATTTTCTAGTTCCTACCATTTGCCTGCAGATTTCATGATTTCCCTGTTTTTAATTGCTGGGTAGTATCCCATTGTGTAAACGTACCACAATTTCTATACCCATTTCTCAATTGAGGGACATCTGGGTTGTTTCTAGATTCTGGCTATTACGAATAAAGCTGCTATGAACATGGTTGAGCAAATGTCCTTGTTGTATACTTGAGCATATTTTGGATATATGCCTAGGAGTTGGTATAGCTGGATCTTGAGGTAGCACTATTCCTAATTGTCTGCGAAAGCACCAGATTGATTTCCAAAGTGGTTGTACAAGTTTATTCCCACCAGCACTGGAGGAGGGTTCCCCTTTCTCCACATCCTCTCCAGCATGTGTTGTCTCTTGAGCTTTTGATCTTAGCCATTCTAATGGGTGTAAAGTGAAATCTCAGGGTGGTTTTGATTTGCATCTCCCTGATGACTAAGGACGTTCAACATTTCTTTAAGTGTTTCTCTGCCATTCTATATTCCTCTACAGAGAATTCTCTGTTTATCTCTGTACCCCATTTTTTAATTGGACTACTTGGTTTATTGGTGTTTAACTTCTTGAGTTCTTATATATATATTCTGGATATCAGTCCTCTGTCAGATAGAGGGTTAGTGAAGATCCTTTCCCAGTCTGTAGGCTGTCATTTTGTTCTGATGACAGTGTCCTTTGCTTTACAGAAGCTTTTCAGTTTCATGAGGTCCCATTTATTGATTGTTGATCTTAGAGCCTGTGCTGTTCGAGTTCTCTTCAGGAAGTTGTCTCCTGTGCCAATGAGTTCAAGGAAGAGCAGTGTTCTTAACCTCTGAGCCATCTCTCCAGCGCCCTCCTCTTTAATCTCTTAATAGAATTCAATAGCAACTTTATCTGCACCCAGAACTTTCTGTTTTGAAAGGTTATTATCAATTTATTTATTTATTTATTTTTGTTTGTTTGGTGGAGGTGGATCTTGACAGGGAGAGCCCTGTGTAGCCCTGTCTGCCCTGGAACTCTCCCCATAGACCAGGCTGACCTTAAACTCAGAGATCTGCCAGCCTCTGCCTCCTGAGTGCTCCTGAGAATTAAAGGCGTGGGCCACTGCTGCCCATCCAAGTTTGGTTTGTTTTTTGAGACAAAGATTTTCTATATAGGCCTGGCTAGCCTAGTACTCACTCAAACTGGCCTCCAGTTTCTGGCAGTCCTTCTGCCTTGGCCTCCACAACAACAGAATGTTCTGTCATATTTCAAAATGGTTCCTTTTCTCCCTTCCGTTCTCAGGTGTTCACTAGGAAGGTTTGGGTAGAAGTCTTTAACATGAAACTCACAAAGTACTGTGATTGGGACCCACTGAGCCGGAGGCTTCTCTGGCACAGTTAGGACCTCAGCTCTGGTTCCTGTGGGTCTCTGGCACTGTTAGGACCCCAGCTCTGATTCCGGTGGGTCTCTGGCACAGTTGGGTTCCCCAGCTCTGGTTCCTGTGGGTCTCTGGTACAATCAGGTCCCTCAGCTCTGGTTCCTGTGGGTCTCTGGTACAATCAGGTTCCTCAGCTCTGGTTCCTGTGGGTCTCTGGCACAGTTGGGTTCCCCAGCTCTGGTTCCTGTGGGTCTCTGGCACAGTTAGGACCCCAGCTCTGGTTCCTGTGGGTCTCTGGCACAGTTAGGACCCCAGCTCTGGTTCCTGTGGGTCTCTGCTCTTGTGCAGAGATTGCTGCACAAGAGATGAGCCTTGCTATTTCCTTGCTTTCTCTCCAGGGCCAGGGGCAGTTTGCCTGTGTGCTCACCTTTCTGACAGACATTACGGAAGTTCCTGCCAGGTGCGGAGGTTCACACCTGTAATCCCAGCTCTTAGGAAGCAGAGAGCCTGGGTTATACAATGAGGCCTTGTCTCAAAAAAAAAAAAAAAAAAAAAAAAAAGATAAAAAAAAAAAAAATTCCCCCCCCCCCCCCCCCCCCTTTAAGGTATTAGGATGGCCACTTCCAAGTTCTGTCCCACACTTGGATCCTAGAGCTACATTTTGTTTGTTTTGAAATCAATTTTGAAGAAAGACAGTGGGTCAATGGGAAATGTTCTTTGCCCACTGTCTTCTCTACCTGGAACTGCAGTTACATGCTGGCCTGGAGCCCTGTACCTCATCCTTAGGGAGTGTGACCCTGTCAAACAGATTCCCCAGCCCAGGTTTCCAAAGCGTCCTCCCCACCTCCTTCTCGGCTTCAGTTTAAATTGGCTTTTCTTAAAAGCTTTTTTGTACAATCTTCCATTCGTTTTATCTAATGGAATTTTTACTTTTTTATCACAGTTGGTTTATTTTGTGTGTGCACACACACACACACATGCTGTGGCACACGTGGAGACCAGAGGACAACTTGAAGTGGTTGATCCTCCCCTTCATCGTGTGCGTTCAGAGGCTGAGCTCAGGCCCTCATGGTCAATGGCGAGTGCTCTTACCTGCTGAGCCACCTCACTGGCCCCATGGCTAATGAAATTTTATTTTCAAGATTTCCATTTGATTTTTAAAAACAATGTCCCCTAATGTTCTCCATCTTGTCACATAGCATATCCAGACCGTTGATTTGGTTCCCAGCACCCATGTCAGACGGCTCACAACTGCCTGCAGCTTAAATCCCACACCCTCTTCCGGCCTCTAGTGTCATCTCCACTCATGGGCACATAGTCTTTAAAAAAAAAATTTAAGCCAGGCGCTGTGGCATACGCCTGTAATCCCAGCACTCAGGGAGGCAGAGGCAGGCAGATCTCTGTGAGTTCGAGGCCAGCCTGGTCTACAAAGTGAGTCCATGACAGCCAAGGCTACCCAGAGAAACCCTGTCTCGAAAACAAACAAACAAACAAAAAATTTTTTTTAATCTTTAAAAATTTTCAAAAGTTTTTCACTTTATTTACTATTGTTTTGTGTGTTGATGGTGGGGCATACATGGGAGACAAGGCAGATCGCAGGAGTCGGCTCTTTCCTCCCACTGTGGTTTCCACGGGTCCTCTCAGACCTGCGCGGGTTTGCTGGATCGTTCAATGGTCTAGAATAGCGGTTACAGGCATTCATTTTTTAAGATTTCTTTTTATGTGTATGAGAGCTTTGCCTGTATGTCTGTCTGTGTACTTCATGCATGGCTGCTGCCTGCAGAAGGTATCGGATCCCCTGGAACCGGAGTTACAGATGGTTGAGACCTACCATGTGGGTTTGGGGAGCTGAACCTGGGTCCTCTGCCAGAGCAACAAGTGCTCTTAACCAGTGAGCCATCTCTCAGCCCTGTCACGGATAGTTTAAATACATAGTCTCCTGCTTACACCTAAATGCTATGGATCTGTTTCTGTTGACTGATTTTTCTCTTAAATGTCTACCACATTTCCTGTTGTTGTTTTTTTTCTCTCCATATAGCTAGTGATTTTCAGATGCTTCATTGGATGAGAGGGGTATTGCCTGAGGCGCTCCATTCTAGCTTTTCTTTTTCTTTCTTTCTTTCTTTCTTTCTTTCTTTCTTTCTTTCTTTCTTTCTTTCT